CGCCAAGTAAACTGACGCGTACAATAATACACGCCAACGTCGATATTACTGTTTCTACAAACATTGTTGTAGAATGAATATTTCTGGGTTGTTGCGTCGTGTTGTCTGATAGAAGTTTGCCGACGTTTCAGAGGCGCTGCATCCATAATCTACGGTGGAGGTAGCAAGTATTAGGTAATCATTTTCATACTCGCTGCCGTGAGAATCTCAAATCTTAATTGTTTTAGAATATTTAACGAATTACAAGGAAAATAATTTCAGATTCCATGCAGTGATAAGCCCGTGTGTGTGTGTGCATATCTTTGGTGTTTTGATGTCCGTGAAAATAGATTTTTCTGTCTGCTATTGACACTTGAACTGTAGTTTTGCTAAATGAAGTTATAAACTACCACTGAAACCACTCATAAACGAAGGCATTTATTTTACAAATCTAACTCAGACTTGTTTGCCAATGTATTTGTGTAGTAACGTACAATTTCTGTTCTTGAAAATACATTTAAATTGTTTTAATTATTGGCTCATGGCGAGAGCCTTTTCTGGTATACTTAATTATCTGAAATATCAAACAAAGTCAAATCGGACGACCGCCATGTTTTTATGTAGGTAGTTATCTAGTACGTGGTTGAAAGTAATTGCATTGTCTTCCTACCGTCTTCTTAATTGTCATTTTATTAAAACTTTTAGCGGGTAGATAGACACGTGAACATCGTATATTTCCTTAAGGAAACCTGCATAAAGTAGCTTAGGATTTCTTGCAAACCGCAGGGATTTGTGTATTATTGCACCAAAGAAATTCCCTCTGAAAGAAAGCCTCAGTTAACAAAAGATTCATTGTTTCCTTTTCAAGAACCCCTTAAAAAAAAGAAATGTCCCCTCAGATGCGAATGTTACAGCTAGGAGGATGGATTTTTCCGTCTTTGACGTTTTATAAACTCATTTTTCACCTCAAAACCGTTATAACGAAGTAAAATTCTTTGCAGGATGTGAACATCGCGTTTTATTCTAGCGGTTTGACGTGCGTAAAAGATTAGTCAGAATAAGTTGATCTCTTTTGTCTGCCGAATTTGAATTTTGCTTTGGATATCGTAATGTTTTTGCTCTGTCAAAGAAAACTTATGTCATATGTTGATTTCTATTCATGAAGGCCTGTGCAGAACAAAAATAAATGTTATGGAATGTAGATTGTTGAATATGAAATTTTATTTGAATAGAATCACCATTAAGACAAATTTACGGTTTTTAAAATAATGTACTTCATTTTTCAAAGCTTGTATCAGGCCTATCCTGACGTATCTTCTGTTTGAAGATATCCGTCTTCTGGGTTATTGCGCTGTGTAGTCTGGTCGATGTTAACCAACGTTTCAGAGGTCATACTGCCTCCGTCATCAGGGCGATGAGTATGAAGATTTCTGTCTTCTGGGTTGTTGCGCTGTGTAGTCTGGTCGATGTGTACCAACGTTTCAGAGGTCATACTGCCTCCGTCATCAGGGCGATGAGTATGAAGATTTCCGTCTTCTCGGTTGTTGCGCTTTGTAGTCAATGAATATTCATCGCCCTGATGACGGAGGCAGTATGACCTCTGAAACGTTGGTAAACATCTACCAGACTACACAGCGCAACAACCCAGAAGACGGATATCTTCATACTCACCGCTGTGAGAACCTCAAGTCTTACGTATCTTCTGTTTGTCTGTGTTAATACGAGTCGAAGGTTTAGCGCCTCTGTGAAGAGTGTCTTTGGATTCTAGAGTCATATAAATTCAGTTTACTTCCCAATAAATTGTTCATCTCATCTTACTTTCCCGAGAGATCTCATTTATTTACCATTTCTTAAGAAACGTTGCATTTATTTTCATCATCCACTCTTCTGTTACGTTGGCAGTGTTCTGGTGCATGTAGTGAAGACTTTTTCAGTGCAGTTTTATCAGTACTTATATAGAAAATGTGTATCAAAGTTCCATACTTCGTCTTCCTCTTGATGAGATAAGAGGATTTCACAGTAATCTTTACCTGATACCTGGAACTCTCCATCCCAACAGCTTTCTCTATCAGACCTGTCTGTTGAAGGGGCTTAACTCCAAGGTTGTTCTGTTATTATTTGTTTCTTTGCATCTCGCCTCAATTTACTGATAATGCTGCGTTGAAATATTGATTTCACGAAAGAAAGACATTCCGGTATTATTCTGAAAGGACTTGGGTTTGTTATCCGGTCTGTGCAGAGGAAACACGCGTTCTCTGACCGCCAAATCAACGAATTGTGTCTGTTCGAGTTCTCGCGGTGATGAAGATTTAGGTTATGGACTTCTCTGTGTTGTGGCACCATGTTGTCTTAATGGTAGTTACCGTCATTTTGGAGGAACTTTGTACCTCACCTTGAAGATGGAGGATATACGCCCTTCCGAAACGTTATTAACCACTTATAAGGACGCACGGCGTTACAGCTCAGAAATTCACGATCGATAAATGTAATGTTGGTCATATCGATTGAATAAATCCTTACTATAAGTTGAAGTTCAAGACGAATTTTATTAACTTTCTGTACATCGTACAAAAAAAATGTGCCTGGTGGAAAATGTGTTTGTCATTAAGGTCTACAACTTTTTATTTGAAAATGTTTTCGATATTGTGTATTTTGTAGTGCGCTTTGCCATAGTAGTTCACTAGAAAATGGACAGACTAAATAAACAGTGCACGAGGAATCCGAATCCACAAATAAGGCATTCGAAATAATGTTTGTTACTCACGAGAAAATATTTGACCTTGGCATTGCAGACCTATGTAGACTTTTGATGGCGATAAATCTGTGGTTATAACGTCATTTGTTCATCCACTCTGCCAATATTTAAGATTTTCTCGTGAGTAACATTAATTTATTCTTATCTGGAAGGCACTTTTCTATCTTGCAATCTGCAGTTAGTTGGCCGCTCGTGAACCAGGTATGTTCATGGGTCGCAGGAGAAAACTATGAGTTTGTATTATTCAATTCTTCAATTCAATTCAATTCTTTATTATTTGTGTGCTGTATCAACAGCCTGATGGCCATTTACAGATACAGCACAGAGATGAGCTCACAAACACAATAAAACATAAAAGATAAAACAAGCAGAATATAAAATACATTGATACGGAGGACATAAATACACAAGAAAATTGCAACTAATATATCAGGATATTTGTAAACATAATTTGAATCAATTAAGTAAATTATACTATTATAGAATGTGAAGAAGTGTGACAGTTTTCGTCTCGAATATGTCCAAATCCCTGCAGACAACATTAGCAGCTGATGCGCATCTAGCAGAAGGACTGTTTTTGATCAAAGGGCTAACACTGAACATAGAAAAATCTCTCAGATTCCGAGCAGGGATGCGGAGACCGACAGCTTCCAGAAGGGAAGGACAGCGTTTAAAACCGCGATAAACCTGCACAAGGATCAGTGCATCACTACACTGCCCTCTCTTACGCAGGGTCTGGAGTTTTAAATACTCTAAAGCATCAGCGTAGTTGTAATGCACTTGGGGGAGGAGACGATATTAGCAAAGGGCTGCAAACTTCTGCTGGATACGTTCCAGTTTGTTGGCATCAGTAGTCGTAATAGAATTCCAAACGACCGAGGCGTACTCGAGCTTGGATCTAACTAAGGTTACATATAACATATACAGGCAATCGAGAGAAGAGAATGAAAAGGTTAATGTGCGAACAAGACCCAGCAACTTAATACAATGTGAAAATATGTGGTCAACATGGTTGTGAAATTGGAGCTTGGAGTCAAAAAATATTCCCAGGTCTTTAATAGTGTCGGTACGTGTTATGGAGGACTGAAAAAGTTTGTAATCAAAGATCAAAGTAGTGGTTTTCCTGGAGAAGGGAATTACTGTAGTTTTACTAATATTGAGTTTCATGAAGTTAGCAGTGCACCAACCTTGTACCGAGTCAATGTCAGTTTGAAGTTCATTGCAGTCGTTGGGAGATTTAATGGCACGAAAAAGTTTGATGTCATCAGCGAAAAGAAGGCATTTAGAATGATTAATTACTTGGCATATGTCATCAATAAACAAGTTTAAAAGTAAAGGACCCAAAACAGATCCCTGTGGAACACCAGAGAGGACCACAAAAGGAGACGAAAGAGTTTCAGAGACACGAACCTGGGATTGTCTGTTGGTTAAGTAACTACGAAACCAGTTTACGTAACCATCAGAGAGTACAAAAGCACTGAGCTTGTTGAATAATAGATTATGATGGACAAGATCAAATGCACTGCTAAGATCAAAATAAACAGTATCAGCTTGACCCTGATGATAATATTAAAATGGATTTTCTAAAAATTCGTTAAATTTAGAAAATGTGACCTGGAGTGAACTCGCTAAGGAAAGCTTTTGTAATGACAACGTTGAACTTTGGGATTTGTTGAGTAAAGCGTTGTATCAATTACTGAAGGTTTAGTCAGATAAGGCGACATTAATATTTGAATGATAGCTGGGAATTCTGGTAGGACGATGAGTTATGTAGAGGCGCTGCGAGCAAGCTTTCTGTTATGAATGACGACAGTCTTTGTCATTAGCGTCTAATGACTACAATATGCGATACCATAACGTAGATAAGATGATAGTTGCAAGTCAGTTTTTCGAAAGCCAGGTGCACGGAACGTTTGTGAAAAAAAAAAAAAGATGGAAACGAACGGAACTACACGTATTTCGAAACGCTTTCTTTACCTGTTTGCTTTCTTGTAAGACGACGATTAGAATCAGCGAAGAATTACTAAATACACGAATCTGCTCTATTCCTCTGCAGCATAATTAAAAGAGAAAGGTATTGACCTTGGACAGACAGTGAAGTGCTTCATACTGCGGTCTAGATTTGTTCTGTCTGTACATCGGAATTATGACGAGGGGGGGGGGGGGCTTAAGAAATTTGACTTACGCGTGTCCTGCCTACGTATCCATTATGGTACAGTGTACAGCTTGTTTAGATGAGACCCCGCTTGGTAATTATGTTTAACAGGGCCCTGTTAATAGCGTCATTGTATTCGCGGGGAGGACGGAGTTGATGTCCGCTTGTCAACAGCGAGAAAAAGCCAGAGACTCAAGTTCCTACCGTCCATCGCAGTGAGACTGACAGACTTTCTTGGTCCATTTGTAAGCCGCTTGGCCTCTGGCTACGGTGAGTCTTTTTAATGATAATTCTTTTTTAAAAGTTAATTTAACTTCTTAACTTGATATATCTAGTTCTTATCCCATTTCTTTACTTAATATGTTTCCGACTTCATTGTGTTCTTTTTGTTATACACTGTAATTGATCTGACCCAATCCTTTTTATTGTTAAAAACCATAAAAACTTTTGAAACGTTCCAGACTTTTGGTTTTATCACTTTCCTTTTTATTGGAGTCGTGCGCTCTCTTTCTCCTAATTAGGGTGTCCAAACACAGCACAACGATTTGCGTCACTAGCTTCTAAATGTCCTGTCACCGCACCAGACCCCCACTGCTCAGATCCTACTTCTTCATTGTTCGTTATATCCCTTATAGTGTTTGTCTTTAATATAATATTTACAGCTTAACTATCAACTTAGGACCACAAAAGGAGACGAAAGAGTTTCAGAGACACGAACCTGGGATTGTCTGTTGGTTAAGTAACTACGAAACCAGTTTACGTAACCATCAGAGAGTACAAAAGCACTGAGCTTGTTGAATAATAGATTATGATGGACAAGATCAAATGCACTGCTAAGATCAAAATAAACAGTATCAGCTTGACCCTGATGATAATATTAAAATGGATTTTCTAAAAATTCGTTAAATTTAGAAAATGTGACCTGGAGTGAACTCGCTAAGGAAAGCTTTTGTAATGACAACGTTGAACTTTGGGATTTGTTGAGTAAAGCGTTGTATCAATTACTGAAGGTTTAGTCAGATAAGGCGACATTAATATTTGAATGATAGCTGGGAATTCTGGTAGGACGATGAGTTATGTAGAGGCGCTGCGAGCAAGCTTTCTGTTATGAATGACGACAGTCTTTGTCATTAGCGTCTAATGACTACAATATGCGATACCATAACGTAGATAAGATGATAGTTGCAAGTCAGTTTTTCGAAAGCCAGGTGCACGGAACGTTTGTGAAAAAAAAAAAAAGATGGAAACGAACGGAACTACACGTATTTCGAAACGCTTTCTTTACCTGTTTGCTTTCTTGTAAGACGACGATTAGAATCAGCGAAGAATTACTAAATACACGAATCTGCTCTATTCCTCTGCAGCATAATTAAAAGAGAAAGGTATTGACCTTGGACAGACAGTGAAGTGCTTCATACTGCGGTCTAGATTTGTTCTGTCTGTACATCGGAATTATGACGAGGGGGGGGGGGGGCTTAAGAAATTTGACTTACGCGTGTCCTGCCTACGTATCCATTATGGTACAGTGTACAGCTTGTTTAGATGAGACCCCGCTTGGTAATTATGTTTAACAGGGCCCTGTTAATAGCGTCATTGTATTCGCGGGGAGGACGGAGTTGATGTCCGCTTGTCAACAGCGAGAAAAAGCCAGAGACTCAAGTTCCTACCGTCCATCGCAGTGAGACTGACAGACTTTCTTGGTCCATTTGTAAGCCGCTTGGCCTCTGGCTACGGTGAGTCTTTTTAATGATAATTCTTTTTTAAAAGTTAATTTAACTTCTTAACTTGATATATCTAGTTCTTATCCCATTTCTTTACTTAATATGTTTCCGACTTCATTGTGTTCTTTTTGTTATACACTGTAATTGATCTGACCCAATCCTTTTTATTGTTAAAAACCATAAAAACTTTTGAAACGTTCCAGACTTTTGGTTTTATCACTTTCCTTTTTATTGGAGTCGTGCGCTCTCTTTCTCCTAATTAGGGTGTCCAAACACAGCACAACGATTTGCGTCACTAGCTTCTAAATGTCCTGTCACCGCACCAGACCCCTACTGCTCAGATCCTACTTCTTCATTGTTCGTTATATCCCTTATAGTGTTTGTCTTTAATATAATATTTACAGCTTAACTATCAACTTAAATTCATGTAATAAGTTTAAACTACATAACACCCGTTGATGGCTAAATTATAGCCGAAACTAGTCGTGTAAGTTTCCAATGTAATCGAGTACTCGATAGGAAACGTTAAATGATGTTTTAATCTTTTAACAATATTATATTTGTGATTGACGGCAAAAGTTTTTAATAAATATTTTAATAATTAACTATCTTTATAAAATCGTTAAACAATCGATCAATTTACGTGGCCCATTTGCGCCTCTATAAATCTTCACATTCAACGCCACAAAACATTTTCAGTTTTAATTTGGAAGATTCTGGTTGAATACGTATCTCAGCCGTGCGATTGGAACAGAAACTCCCGACAACCGCATATCAGCACTTGTGTTCGTGAGTGCTCGCCAAGCGAATTTACCTTAAGATAATAATTATTTTAAAATTTGAGTTTTTTCTCAGTAAATTCTTTTAACCACAAAGCTCAGAGCAGTTAATGAACGAAATTTGTGTACTTAATTCGATGTTTCTGATAAGACTGAAATTTTTCTCGAGTTACGACTCTCTATGAGAGTATTTTGGACCCAACATGGCGGCATAGCGTCATATCATACAAGAAGACTTCGGGTAGATCGGCTATGAACTTCGTGCATTTGGGAGGAAACTTGTAAGCTGCAGTATCCTGACGTCGCAAGATATTTAAACCAAAGTACTTTACAGTAATACTTGTTGAATAACACCCAGGAGTTTGAAATATTAGCAGACGTAGCTGACAGAGCCGTCCAATGGGATTCAGAGAGCTGCTTTAAATACTCCAGCACACAAAGGAGTCCCAACAGCATTGCATACAGAAACGAATTCCCGAACCTGCATTATATCAGTTTATTTATATTATGTATTGGTAGTTCGTCCGTAACTGCCTAGTTCTGAAAAGCCATTTTCCACCCCTGAACAAAATCAAGAAGACTGCATTTGCGACTTATAATTTTTCTTAAAACCTTATCGCGTTATTGGACTAAAATTTCAGTAGTTTCCGGTTGAGTGAACGTTTTGCTTCAGGCTTCTAAACACAATGATGTCCTATAAAAAAATGAAGGTACGTGTATACAAAAGTGTTTTATACTTTATGCTCAGTCGGTACTTTCATGTTACGGTATTCAATGGCGTCCATATGTTCGTGCGAATGGAGAGCACTAAAATAAACGAACTGGAAAATGTCTGAACCACTGAATGTAATTGCTACCGTTTCTACTTTCAAAATGACAGGCGCCCGTGTAAGGTCTGATTTTTGTGGATGTGTCTCGTATCCTGTCAAGACAGCGTTTCTATTACGAAGATCAGTTGGTTAATGCTGTTTGTTCTGAGAATCGTACGAAACCCATATTCTTTGAACACAATTCAGAGTTATTGATCGTTAAAGCAGGTGGTACAAGTGGTTACCATTGAGTTTGAAGACGTCAAACAGCGAAACCAGCTATTTGTATTTTTGTACCGCCACGGTGGTCTAGCGGTTAGAACGCTGGCCTTGTAATCCTGGGGTCTCGGGTTCGATTCCCGGCGGTGCCCGAATTTATAACTTGTGTTGGGCAAGGCCGTGGTCTAGGCAACACGGAGTTTTCCTCCGTGGCATCCCAACAATTACTCCATTCACACACAGAAGAAGGCAATGGCAAACCACTTCTGGATCATCTGTCAAGAACGTATATGAACAGGTCCCAGTCCGAGAAAAGGATGGAAGGATCCTGTTCATATGGACCTGTCGTCAGACAGAACACTAAATAAAAATAAAAATTTGTATTTTATACAGATCGAGCGTTGTTATTAGCATAATTGTAATTATTTAATCTTTATGAGTTTATCTTGGTGGACTGATTTGGCGTGCGAACTCTCCTGGAAGACAATTGTACCCGAAAGAGCGTCCTACATTTTGGCTAGTTTCTCGCAGTGGGTTTCCTAAGTTTAAGAATGATCTAATGTTTATTATAATGTTCTTTTTTCTCGTGATTGCAGTATTTAACATGACCCGTCGAATTCAACGGGATCTTCTTGTAACACCTGGGCGTTGAATAATACCGGAAGATGGTAAAATGAGATCATGCAACCTTTGCGATGAACGTCCTGACTGAAAATCTAATAAACATTTCAGGTTTGCGAGTGGATGGACTTGATGAATATGTTTAAAAGCCGTATGGGCAAAGAGTAATATTAAATTAGCACGTAATGGACCCGTATTTCATCTGTTCGGTCAGAGAAAGGAAACAGGTATTGCAACACACGTAATAAGGATGTATTGCCCCGGGCACCCAGACGGAGGTGGGGGGGGGGGTCATGCACCTGATGTTTCCTCTAGTCAGCGCCCACACCCAGACAAAAACCAGTGGTTAGCCTCGTTTCACGCAAGAAAGAAGACCCACCAAACATTTTCCAGATTTCTATGGAAAGTCTTAGAAACGAACTGAATTATATGAGGATGTTGTTTATGGATTGTATTCACTTCCTCCTGAGCCAATGAAGTTCGCTGAACGCCTGCTCAAATGTTAACGGGCATGTGGTTTCTGGAACATGTTCTTTGTATGACGTCTGTAATGACCAATCATTGAACGGAAGGTAGTTTCTTTGACTCATTCTGTGCACATCTGTAGACTTGAGTTTACTTAGCACCGTACGTCGCAGTTTTCAGTTCAAAGGTCCCTGATTTTTGTGAGTCAACACCAGTACAGTTATATTAGAACATCATACAGTCGGCAATTCTTTGTGACAGGAAGCAGGGTGCATTACCATCTGTTCATTATGGAGCTAACAGTGCTTGTCTAAATCATTCTGCTAAAAGGAAAACCTTGCATCTATTTGCTTAATGGGAAGGGGGAATTTCAACCGACATCCAAAAAGACAGTAAGTAGTTCTTCATTTGTTAGAAATTCTTTGCAGAAACTGAATGAGTACGTTTAGTAATGGCGTGCATTGTGTCTGCGTGTCTCTTGCAGTGTGATTAAACCAACTCCATGAAGTCCTTCTTTAGAATCTTGTAGTCACTCAGCTGGTCAGATTTTTCCTTATCCCCTTTAATGAAACCCGAATGTTCATTACCGTGTTCACAACAGCCCGCCACGTCATCATTAAAAATAATCAAAATGCT